TTTCGGTCTTCTTGACTACGTCTCAACACCGAGCTCATAGGGGAATGCGGTAGATGTTGTGCAAAACTACCACCACTATAGACTAGTTCACACACTAGTCACTTTGCTGTGGAGCACACGATTGACATCGTCGGCAACGATAGTCGATCTTAGCACCGTGGCTCAAGTTGCACCCGTGCCTAATTCAGTTACTTCGGTAAGTTAGTCTGTGGGCGAATGCAAGAACAGGGGCTGGCTGCGTGACGGCAAGGTAATCATTCCTTGATAACCGCTTACTCAACGCGGTGAGGACACCATCTTGTTGTCGACTACATGAGAATCTTCGAGCAATCAGATGACCGAATTTCGCATCTGCTGCAGGAATAGTGACCTTCAACCAGTGACTGGATAAAATAGACGGCGGGGTTTAGTTCCGCAACCCCACTGGATTGATACCATATGGCTAGCTTCTTAAAACAATTTAAGTAGGTGCGATTACGTTGACTTTACACATGTCTCGTGTTTGCGCCTTGCTAGTCCAATTCGGCGAGTGTCTGTGCCTCGGGGGCGACAATGCTTATACGCCAACCTGGGCTGCATCAGGTATCAGTTCACACACGCTTCTCTGCGCGTGTTTCGAACCCCGCTTGCGCCCTCCTTATTATCTTAATCCAGCGAGTGGCAAAGTAGGTTTGCTAATGGCACAGCTCGGACGGAATGGAACTCCGTCAGTTGCACCAGAGTGGCCGTGCACCGCGAATTGACACGCGGCTCCCGCCGTGGCCTTCCAGTTGTGACTGAACTCTCCTTATCCTCTTAATTCGGCGAGTGGCTGTGTCAGGGGGGGGAGTGTGTACACGCCACCTTCGGTTACACCAGGCATCGTTTCACACGCGCCTCCTTGCGTGCGCTTTGATCGCTGCTTGCTCTCTCTCTCTCCCCGTTCGTAATCCAGCGACTGGTTAAGATTGTTATGCTAGCCGAAAATTTTTTAGGAAGCTATCCGTATGGTATCCATCAAGTGGAGCCGCGGAACCAAACCTCGCCAAATAAACATGGCGATCTGCCAACCAAAATCGGACAAATGAGCGACACAACTAAGGATTATACTCGGTGGAGATGCGTTAAATATACAGTGAGCTATGTATTGCCTCTATGCCTTGATGGAGGGGCCGCGTGAGAGCGAAACTTCGAATGACGCGGGCTTTAAGCCAGAAATAACCATCTCATCCGCCCCTGCGTATTTCGGCTGCTCAAAATCGGCGGAACACGTGTCTAGACTTTTGGCTACAGCCCCCCCCTCTACCGAGAGCATGGTAAATCCCTGAATGTTTAATCACTACGGACTGTCTGTTGACAGACCAGGAATATCACAATGATACTGGTGGACGTTGAATCTAACGCCCAATGACCAACAAATCCGGGTTCGTATCCCAGATCTTGCAAACCTGTGGTTAGCTCTGGCTGTCTGACGAGGTCTAAATTGGCCATCCCAGTCGCCCCTGTCTTTGTCGGTGTCCCACCCTGCTGCAATATGCGGGTTAACTGTCAGTCTAGTTTCGTGTAGATTGGCATCCTTACAAAGTGATTGGCGTTGGTCGTCGATGGGGGACGACTGCAGACATGTTCATTTTTTTAGTTTTTGTGCACGAAGATCGTATACGCTCAAGCACGCGGAATTCAACAGTCAATATTAAAATCGACTCGTCAACGACTGGACGTTTATTAAATAGGTATATGGAGAGGGGAACGAATCACAGGTTACTCGGTCAAGGGGGGGGAGACAGCAGAGAAAAAGACCAGAAGTAGCAATGAAGCCCTTCTCCAGGCTATCCTTCCTCAGGTCGAGATGTCGGCACGTGTACTTCTTCAGTCAGAGCGTCTGGTTCATGCTCCGTCACTCTTGCTTCAAAGGAATCGGAAGGTCGCTCAGGCAGACGTTGACAAAAAATTAAAACAAACTTTATCGAAAATGCAGGCAGTAGGTGACCAGTCTCGTGAAATATGCTTTAATTAATAAAAATCGCTAACCAATCTGGAACCTGTCCGAAAACCTACACACAAATACAATACGGATAATGCACGACCTCTGGTTAAATGAAAACGCGTTTTAAGCATTACAAGTTGATTAGAAATAACAATTCTCTTGAAAAAAGTGGATATTGAACACGCTCTAATTCGTGTCACATGAGTAGACCTCAACTTTTAGAAGTAATTACGGCTTGTCCATGCAAATATCCGACTAAATAAGACGTCATAGGCAAAGTAACGTTTTGAAAAATATTTTTTACATCCAATTTCTTTAAGGAACCCCCAATAGTTAGCGGTATATGAGGTCTGGCACAAAATGAAGTGCGTAACGTCCGCTTATGTGTTTCAAGAGGGTTCCACTTGATGTCGTTAATGGAAAATTCACAAAAATAAAAGTCTTTATAAGGTCACATATTGGTAGGCTGATTTATTACTACTAAACTTGAGTATACTTGGTAGATGCAGTCGTGAGCATACTATATTGTGTCTATTGAGATAACTTTTTCCGTCATATTTATGTCTGGTTCTTGCTGACAGTGTAGTCCGTTGAGTTTCAGAGTGTCCGTGAAATTTCGGTGGCCACTTTTCCATTTTCAGTAGTTTCAATCGACTGTCCATTACCACAGATTCCGTGCCAGGTATTTACCAAAGTCTTCTAGATATTTCTTGAAAGCACTCAGTAAATTAGTGAGTACTTGGACGTTCTTGTTCGTGTAGATGGCCGTCTGGGTAACATTTGAAGACGCAGCCGGACACGAAACCTCATTTTCGAAGAGATAAACGTCCACAACAAACGTCCGGTTGTGTGATTATGAATGTACGGAAGAGTGGTCATGTAAAACATATTGCTCAGTTTGTTAATATTTGTCCGTCCCGTCCCTAAATTATGTATAAGGCGAAACCAGACTGCACAAGAAATACATATCCCTTCATGTGTTACAAATTTAAAGTGACCATTCGATGATGGCCATTTGACGGTCGTGTGTGATGTACTCGCAGATTTAGAAACGATATCTACGCGTTTAGACATTGAAGTTCCTGTACTGCACTTTAGGGCACGAAATTACACAAATTTGCAGATCTCACTTTGAAAGAATGATGAAAAGTTCATTTTTCTTAAAATAACTTGTTCGCAACTCGCATTAGGTGTCGAACACCGGACAAAAGATAATTTTCGAGTGCATCAAGTTCTGCTCGACAAATCTTTCGAGGTTGAATTGATGTCCTCTAGGACCGTTACTAACCTAGGAGATTGCCCTTATATATGGTAGTATAGATTGCTGTTGAAATTTACGACCATTTTACAGAAAGGGCTAGAGGGAAGGAGCGAAATGAGCAATCTGTTAGGTGTTGAAAAATTATCATATTCATTTTAATTATCACATTTAATTGGTTAGGTCGCATACTGCATATATCTGGTCGCTATACGACTGTAAACAATAGTCTTAGATTGAGCCCGAAGGTGCAATACAAGGGTTATATCGCGTAGCTTGGTCAAGGAACGTACTTCCAAAGGTTATATATATATATATATATATATGGGCAGAATGGCATTACCGATAAAGACAAGGGAGACTGGAATGGCCATTTGTGGCTTATTAGCCGTCGTCAGCCAGCCATACCCAAGCCCAAAGTATGTATTTTAATGGTGGAAGGGGCGCTTACCGATCGTGCTACGGAACTCACTCGTCCGATTTTGCCTTGGGACTCTCTCTCGTGCCCAACCAGCAGCCGCACTGAGCCGCGTAATATAGAATAAAATTGCCGACAAAGAAAAAGGAGACTGGAATGACTATGTCTTGCTTGTTGGCCGTCGTCAGCTAGCCATGCCCGACCGCAACCGAAAGAACGACGAGTCCGTGGCTCAGTAGGTAAGGACGTTGGACTTCTTACCAACAGGTCGAGGGATCGAACTCCGGGTGTCACACACTCAGGGGTTGGTTATGACTGGCTGACGACGGCTAATAAGCCGGAAATGGCCATTCCAGACTCGCTTGTCTTTTTGGTAATGCTATTTTGCCTATATATATATATATATCTGACAGGAGAAAGTCCGTCGGAAATAGAGTGTTACTCGTAAATTTTCGAGCTCTTTGCACCAACCCGTCGTCAGACAAAGTGAATAATGAATGGTGGGATATATATATATATATATATATATGACAGATGGGCGTTCACCGATCAGGTTACGGAACGTGCTTGCTCGGTTATGCCGTGGCGCTCATACTAGAGCCCTCGCAGGCAGTCGCACAGCGACTAGTGGTAAATTAAATGACATGGTACCGGCATGGTATATATATATATATATATTCACGTCAAATGAGTTCTTTGGGAAGGTCACAAACTTTATCCCATGGTAGAGGCCGCTCACCGATCGCGCTACGGAACTCACTCCTCTCTTTGTGCCTTGAGGTTCTCTCTAAAGCCACTTCGGGAGCCACACAGCGACGCTTAATAGAGGTAGAATAGCGTAATCGAAAAAGTTAAGGGAGGTTGCCCTCATTCCGTAAATTATCGACGTCACTTCGCCTGGTCGTCATCAAGCATAGCAGCCAACTTATAACGTGCCTAAAAATAAATACTTATCTGGTATAATATATGCTACTATCTTCTTCCTGGTAATTTCAGACCTAAAATAGCAGCGAAACAAAAACCTTCACCTAATTTCAACTTGTTCCAACAAAAAATGTCCATAGATGAATGTCGACAAGTTCACTATAGTTAATTTTGACCCAGTTGTGAAAAACTCGACGGCCTTAGTGGGATTTGAATCCATGACCATCAGGGATAGGCACCGGGAGTTTAATCACACTTTGGTCATGTTACCTACGCGGCCTACTGCATAGTATGGAATCCACCCAATCCGTTACAGCAAGCTGTCGGTCCAGGTAGGATTTCCTTAGTAATCCGTCTACAATCCACCGGATGAATACCAGGTCCACGTTATTACTAGGTGTTTTGGGAGATTTTGAATAATTCATTTTTGTCCACTATAAGAACTTTATACAGCTTAAAAAACCACATAGGTTTTCAGTGCGTCGTTTGATTGCCTCGTCTTCTCCTTCTTTATCATCATCATCATCATCATCATAATCATCATCATAATCATCATCATCATCATCATCATCATCATCATCATCATCATCATCATCATCATCATCATCATCATCATCATCATCATCATCATCATCATCATCATCATCATTATCTTCTTCTTCTTCTTCTTCTTCTTCTTCTTCTTTTTCTTCTTCCTCTTTTTCTTCTACATTGAACTGTTGTCAGGATTCGAGACCACAAATACTGCCCCTTGATTAGACTCACTTTAAGTCACAAATTTGTACTGAATAGGTTAAAAATCCTTGCTCAACTAACGTGCTCCTTTGCTCCCAAGATTTTCATTCCCATCCTTCATCTAGGTCTATATTCTGGATGGGGGAGAGCAGGCTCTTAAGCCCGTCGGCAACCCGCAATTTCAGACCGCCTGGCAGATGGTCAGGGCACTGGCTTCCACGAAGAACAATGCCCTCGGCTGCCTCATCCTCTCCCCCCTCCCTCCCCCCACGGTGCAGAGTTTAATGAATCAAGGTTGGTCGGTGAAAGTCAGCCATCTTCTTCACCCGGTCACCTGTTCGCCGACTGATGATTAGCCGCGTGGAAGGTAGGATAGGGGGGGGGGATAGAAGACGGCAATAAATGAATAAAACCTCTGTCCCCCGCCTTAGTTCTGGTGAATTTCGATGGGGGAGATTTCCAGACTGTGTGAGGCCACGCCCTCTTCCCACGTCTCTCCAAAACATCCACTCGAATGCTCGACAGTCAACCAACTAAACATTATTGATTACCCCGGGGAATTGGAGGCTGGATGAACTCCTTCCCCCCCCCCCCGGCCTGCAACTGCATATCCAGCCCAGTGCTTATCAAGTGCCCCAAATGATGCTGCTGATGGTGGTGGTGGTGATGATGATGATGATGATGATGATGATGATGATGATGATGATGATGATGATGATGATGATGATGATGACGATCATAGTTCTGGCGACAAGGCCGATCTCTCCTCCGCATTCGCCTCGCCTTCACAGTCGTATGCCAGTCAGACAGAAGGATGATTAATCTGGACTAGCTTATCTGCCCGCACGCGCTGTTTAACTGAAGTCAGATCCTCCACCTGTGAAGACACTTTTGGTTAAAGCTTGGCCTTTCAGGCTGGAGTCTTTCGACAGCAGTCGCGCCCGCGCGCGCTTTAATGATTTACCAGGGAGGGAAATTTTTAATGCTGCTAATTTTATTTTGTTCAGTTTGCGCCTGTGCAGATACCTTATCTTTTTTTTTTTCACCACGGGAAAATGCGGTCATTTTTGAGACTGCCTTATTACCTGTCTTAATTACTACAATAAATGAAAGCTCTTTTAAATAGCCCAAAGCACTGATGTTTAAGGCTTCGAGGGTGAAATATTGTGTCAGTATCAAGGGCAGTTTGGGTGGCTGGTGGGCAGATTGTTTTTTCTTATAGGTTGTCCATGAAGTGATCATAAAGTTCGCCGCCAAGGCGTGGTGCAAGGGAGAGAGGGAGAGCACCAGATACGCGTAGAACAGTCCTCAGTGTGATTCCGGCTGTAAAATCAGAAGAGCTGACTTGTCCGCATTCTGTGCTGGATTCGGATTATCGTCTGCTTGACCCACTCAAACGTCCGCAGTGCTTCTCAATCGGCTAGTGAAGCGATTCAGGCTTGCACATAGCCTAGAAACTGTCTTCTCTACCGGCCGCAATTGGGCTGGTTTCAAGCCGAACCGAGCGCAATGAGAGGGAAAACATTCGAACTTTCCAAGTTGATGTAGTCGTCACCATTATTTGATGGTTGGACGCAGGAATATGGACATCATCCCGTGCTGACAGTGGCCCTGCTCTAAATTCCAGGGGGGCGCATATAAGGACTACAGTAGGTGTACTAACACGTGAAATGTCAACCAAAATTCCGAAATGCGTCTTCGTTTCGAAAAGTAGTTAAGTAGGATTGTAAAACCAATCATCGTGCAGCATAATTCTATAACACTTCGGGTACCACAGGATGCCGGCTTTCGAACAAACTTCTATCCGACCTCATGTAAGAATTACACTCTGTAAAAATGACTACTTATGTAACATGTCCTTTTCTCATTGATTTTCGAAGCCTTTGAAAATTCAATTATATTTCATATAAAGCATGCAGAAAAATATTCATTCGCTTGCTCATTCGGTAAAAACCAAAGTTCTCTTCCAATTTTATACTCGAAGGAGCGGTATGATTCAGGTTCAGAAAAGTTTCTAATTGTGAGACTCTTTAATGCCGTGAAATGGCTGTTCATAAAACGGCATATCTCTACATTTGCCGATGTGGCTTGTAAAGTTAACAATATGGCTCAAAACCACCGCTAAATTTTATGAATCCCATATGGTCTCCTCTTAACACCGTAGATAAATGTATGGTTTTTCGTACGCGGAAAATATACGGCTTGTAGTTTGGAAACCCTGAATGCACGTGTAAGGCCACGTCGTAGTTCAAAATTATTCGGTAATTGGAAAGTGTTTGAAAACCGAATTATACCCTTCCTTCGAGGATAAAATGGAAAGAAGACGTAATTTTCTGCCGAGCGACAAAGAGAATGAATATTTTTACGCATGGTCCCTATGAAATATAACTGAATTTTTAAGGACGTCAGAAATTAATGAGAAAAAGGCATATTACATAAGTAGTCATTGTGCACAGAGCGTCGTTTTTGCATGCAGTCGAAAAAAACTCATTCAAGAGCCGGCATCCCAAGGTTACTGAATTATTGTGGCATTATGCTTTACGATGATTAGCTTTACAACCCTACTTACATAATCTTTTCGAAACGAAAGCGCATTTCGGGATTTCGGTTGACATTTGATGTTAACCCACCTGCTGTAGTCCTTATATGCCCCCCCCCCCCTGGAATTCGGGGCAAGGCCACCCTCATCCCGTCCTGAGAGCGGTTAGGTCTAGTTTGAGGACCCGGCAATAGGAACCCTCCTGAGATTTAGTACAAAGCCACCGGTTGTGCTATGAGCGGTCCATATTCTGTTGTTCCACCTATTTGTCTTATACATGCATCGCTACTTATTGCAGACCTAACGCCTCACATATTCTGTTTTATAAACTACCTTGTTGTTGGTAATGGATATGACTGCGAAACTCCCTTTTCTGGCTGACATTGCTCATATCACAGCCCGTTAACAAATATGCCACGTTGGGCCAGAAGTGTCCAGCCACCTTAAGTATTATGCACTGCGTGAGGGAAAGTTTCAGTAGATATGCTGTCTCATAAACTGTTGACCGAAGATTTCTTATGTGGGGTTGTCATATTAATTATCCTATCGCATAATGCCAAGTCACCTCAGGATGCCGACTTTCGAACGAGCTTCTCATCGGCTGCCTGCGTAAGCTAAAGTCCGTAAAAATGACTACTTAAATAGTACGATTTCTTCCAATGACCTTCAATTCCATAATAAATTCAACTATATTTCATGGAAAGCATGGGCAGAAATATCCTCTTTTTACTTATTTGATGGTAAATTACATCTCCAAGTGTTGTACTTGAAGAAAGAGCATTTTTCGGCCACAGAAATCTTTAGTAGTTGCCGAATTACTTTAAACCCAACCTGTCTTCACGCTTGCATTCAAGGTTTTCAAACTGTAAGCTGTATACTTTCCGTGTAAGTAAAGTCATTCATTTCTATAAGTTATTACAAAGGGTGATAGAGGGGCATACAATTTTGAGATGGATGCGGACCACATTTCCACCTTATAAGCAGTATTAATTAATGTTCTGGTGTGATGCTGTGCGACTGGACACTTCACAGTCTTGGAAAATCTCATAAGCAGAAATTTACAGCTGAAGGATGCTCATTCTTTAAGTATTCAATTTGAGGAAGACATAACTTGCCATCTAATGAGTAGAAACAATTATACTTTTGTACGTTTTCTATAAACTGTGTTGGAATTTATAAGGGCAGCGGAAACCAATGAGAACATTTGTGCTACTCAAGCAGTCATTTTTTGCGAAATGTAGTTAACGAAGGCGGCCGGAATAAGGATCATTTAACAGGCGTCTGTAGTGACTGAAATGTCTTGGGAGTATGCCGCGTGATAATTAACATTTCAACCCCACCTATTTAACCTTTTATAAGTGAAAACGCATTTCAGAACTTTTGGTCGACATTTCATGAGATGACACATCTGCCGCAGTTGAAATCCGTCAATTTTCCCTTAGCCCCTATTGGTCACTGCTCGACTACAGTGGCCTGCTTAAGGAGGAGAAGGAGGAGGAGGTGGTGGAATTGCTATAAAGAGAGTAGAATATTTCGAGCAAATTCAGTTTGGGAGGCGGATGCCCAAGTACACTTTATTCAATGAAAGACGAACCCTCACACCTTTTAAGCAATTTGTGATGGAGCTTCATCCCGCCAGGGTGGTGGTGTCAAGCAAAATTTGGAGGCGATAACGCTAAGCCCAGCACTGCCTTGGAAATTCCACTTGATGCAGGCTGATCTTCTGGCGGGCGAAATGCTTCCCTCGTGTGGTCGCAGCCATCTTACTTGAACAATGATCGGGAATGCCCTAATTGAGATAGATTTGGAAGTACCGCTAGGCAGTCTTTGGTAGGCCTACAGTCAGTGACCGGTCTCATGAAATGTTGACCGGAATTTCGAAATGTGTATCCCATCAGGAAGGGCAACTGTAATGCTGACTATCTTGCGGCATAACGAGGTTATAGTTCATACATGCCAGGGTGTTGGCACTTAGATGCACTTTTTTTCGGTCGCCTTCAATACCCGTACTCGGTCGAGAAAATGACAACTCAAGTAGTACGTGTTTTTCCATTGACTTCCTGTGCTTTATAGAAAACATGCATACAACGCAGTTTCTTGCAGTCATTGGTAGTAAATCAAGTTTACTTTAGCTTACAGTGCGTGACCAATCTCATGAAATGTTGGCTGAAATTCTGAAATGCGTTTTCGATTAGGAAGGATTACTTGGTCGCTGTTGTGAGAATGATTATCTTAAGGCATACCCTTATAACATTTTGGACTCGGCAAGATGTCGGCTTTTAAATGCACTTCTTTTCAATCTCCTGTAGAAAGCGTGCTCGGTAAAAAATGACTACTAAATTAGCATGCATTTTCCCCATTGATTTTCGATGGTCGTGGAAATTCAAATATATTTTATAGAAACCATAAACAAAAATATGCCTTCTTTTAGCCAATCAATAGAGAATCACGTCTTCTTTATATGTTATACTTAAGAAAGGAGCATAATAAGGTTTTAAAAAAGTTTCTAATTATGAGACTTTTTAAGACCGCGATATGTCCATTCACATAGCATCGTACCTGGACGTTTACCGCTGCTCCTCATGAAATGAACAACATGGTCCGCATCCACTGCCAAATTTTATGGACCCTGTATGATATCTCTTTAATGACATAGAAAAATATGGGATTTTCTTTACGCGGAACGCATGCACCTTGTAGAGTGTAATCACTAAGCGCTAATGCAACGAATGCTCAGGCTCCAACTTTTTCGGCAGTTAGAAAACCTTTTTAAAACCTAATTATCCTCCTTTCTTAAGTATAACATATAAAGAAGACGTGATTCTCTATTGATTGGCTAAAAGAAGGCATATTTTTGTTTATGGTTTCTATAAAATATATTTGAATTTCCACGATCATCGAAAATCAATGGGGAAAATGCATGCTAATTTAGTAGTCATTTTTTACCGAGCACGCTTTCTACAGGAGATTGAAAAGAAATGCATTTAAAAGCCGACATCTTGCCGAGTCCAAAATGTTATAAGGGTATGCCTTAAGATAATCAGTATCACAACGGCGACCAAGTAATCCTTCCTAATCGAAAACGCATTTCAGAATTTCAGCCAACATTTCATGAGATAGATCGCGCACTGTACATACTCGGGAAAAGGTGTCTTTCGGTCATAAAAATGTCCCTCATTATGAAATTTTTAAGGCCGAGTATAGTCCACTCAAATAGCATCGTATCTGTCTGCCTAGTAGTGCTACTTTTAAAGTATGCAACATAGCGAACATTTGCTG